CCCCAAACCTCATTCATATGTACACCTCAACTTGAATCAAGTTTTATTCAGTATCAATCCCAAGTTCAAATTACATCTGAACCTCTTATTGAAACTGAACAAGTTTCTTTGGACCAACTTCCACCTGAAACCTTCCTAAACCAAAATGTCCAATAAAACCTACCCTTTGACCATCACTCATCTCCAAAAATAATGGATATTGTGTTAGAATCTGGCATAATATTCATATCCCCTCCCACACAACCAGAAATTCCACAACCTGACATTCCACCTCCTCCACCCTACATCTAAGTCCAACTGGAAGAATATGGAAATTTTCTCTTTGATAGATTGCAAAAGCTAGTTGCTAAGAGAACTTTAACCTCTCACCCTGTAGCTTATGCTGGAAAATGGGACTCTTTCACAACCTTTGTGGTATCAGTTCTTCAGAATCTGAAGTACATCTCTTCAGAGTTTATTTCTTCTTCCAGTCAGAGGCAAGAGAATTTGAAAGCTAGGATAGCTTATGTTACTGCTAACCATGAAGCTATGACTACTAAGCAGAAAGAGATGGATGATAGGATAAAGATTATGGATGCCATACAAGATGTCATGGGTATTAATCTAAAAGCTACTCTGGAGCTTCTGAAGCAAAAACCTTAGGCTGTAGGATTCATTCACCCTTTGTTTTATCTTTTTTGAACCTTTGATATGATTCATTTTTTTATTAAATAAAAACTTTTCTTAAATATCTTTTTTGTGCTTTTATTTATCTTTTTGTTGATGACAAAAGGGGGAGAGATAAATAGTATTTAACCACATGAACTTGAATCTGATGATAATTATTATTGTGCTTTTGAAGATTATTTGTGTTGTTAAAGGAATTTAATTAACCTGGATAGGACTTAGGGGGAGCTTACAAACCTCACCCTCTGGACTATCAGACTCAGGGGAAGCTTACAAAGCTCAGACCCTAAAGTCAACATGTTAATTAAATTAATAATCATTGTTCTTAAATACTTATGTTTATCATCATCAAAAAGGGGGATATTGTCGGAACAAAATTTGTTAATACCATATCCCTTGGGTTTTGGTGATAACAAAGTATTTAAAGAACAATTGGTACTCTAACATTTGTTCAAGTTTGCAGGAATGTAATCATTAAAAACAGATGAAGAGATGCTTGAAGAATATGAAGATTAGACTCTGGCTCTGAAGATCACTTCCAAAGACTCTAGCTCTAGCGATGATCTAGACTCTGAAGAAATCAACTCTAAATAAAGTCAGCCTCTGGTGACTCAGACTCTAAAGGTTCAGAAGCCAAAAAAAAGGACTCTGATGTGATCATCCTCTGAAGAGTGAAGTCTAAAGAAATTCAACCTCTGAAGCAAAAGCTCTTCAACCGAAGCAACTCTGATAGTCTCGAAACTTTTGATCACATGAATACTTAAGGAAATATCACTCTCAAAGGTGTCTGAGCTTTAACGGATGATTTCTCTTGCAGAAGGGTGCTTTGTTGATGTGTCTAATCAAATACAAAGCTAGCCTAACTTTTTGGTGGAATTATACAACGTCTCTTTCTCTCATATCTATAAAAGGAGTTGCAGACCTGAAGAATAAGATTACCAAACTTCAATATAACACACTACTATACAAACTTTGAACCTTGACAATTAAAGAGAAGTCACTCTGTCAAATTTATTAGACTTAAAACATCTTAACACTTGTATATTTTAGAAGTTCTTAAGTCTTAGAGTCCTTCTAAGTTGTATTTTGTCTACACGTCTGATTGCATATCAAGGGTAGTTGTTACCCAAATCTCTTAATAGTTTATTTAGAGTCAGAAGTCTCTTACTTTAGTGCTTAAGCATTTGAAATCTCTTACATGTGTGCTTGAGCATAAAAGTCTCTTACTTGCAGGTTTGAGCAAAGGAAGTATCTTTCTTGTGTGCTTGAGCAAAGGAATCTCTTGTTTGTGTTCTTGAGCATTTGAAAGTCTTTTGCTTGGGTGCTTGAGCATTTAGAAGTCTTTTGCTTGTGTGCTTGAGTATTTGTAATCAGTTTGGTTATTGTGGAAATCCCTTAGAAATGCAAGGGGATTAGACTACTCTCTAGTTGTGAGATCGAGGAACCAGGATAACTGCTTATGTCTCTTAATTTACTTTACTTGCTTCTGAACAATATTATGCTACTATTATTTGTTTACCTCTAAGTCAAATTATGTTGCATAATCTGATAAAGACATTCAAGAGCTCAGATTCCGGGTGACTCTGATTCAAACTTTGAATTGAGGGTTTATACTATGATTAAGATAATTCAGAAGCAGAAGAAGAAAATGTTTAAGAAAAAACTAACACAATTCAACCCATTTTCTTGTGTTTTTCTCACCTTCATTTGTCACCACCATTGACAATTCCTCTTTCTTGCTAACAACCTGAAAACTCAACAAGATCTCCAAGAATGGTTAGTTTCAATTACGTGCCTCCTTCAATCAATCTCAGAACTCTTGTTATCAACATCTGAACTCAATTGAAGTTGAAGATGTGAGAAATGCGTAACAAGACTTTGAACACTCAAAACAGAGGAAATTGATTTTCACACAAAATCACACTGAAAAATCTTAGCATAATGATGCCATATATTTTCCGATGTGGGACTCTTAACATACCCCCTCACGCTCAGGACTGGACATCTGAAGCATGGAAATAAATGGTGGGTGGCCCGATAGCGGAAACCATAGAAGATGGCCCACCGGATCTTAAACGAGGCTTTTGATACCATGTTAAGAAATGTGGTTGGGCCTAACTCAACCCTACAAAATCGGTTGGTAGAGTAAGGATTGCCCCCACTTATAAACACATGTTCATGTCATATATTGTCTGATGTGGGACTCTTAACACACCCCCTCACGCTCAGGACTGGACAACTGAAGCATGGAAATAAATGGTGGATGGCCCGATAGCGGAAACCATAGAAGGTGGTCCACCGGATCTTAAACGAGGCTCTTGATACCATGTTAAGAAATGTGGTTGGGCCTAACTCAACCCTACAAAACCGGCTTGGTAGAGTGAGGATTACCCCCACTTATAAACACATGTTCATGCCATATATTGTCCGATGTGAGACTCTTAACATATATATATATATATATATATATATATATATATATATATATATATATATATATATATATATATATATATATATATATATATATATATATATATATATATATATATATATATATATATATATATATATATATATATATATATATATATAGACACACACACACACACACACACACACACACACACACACACACCACACACACACACACACACACACACACACACACACACACACACACACACACACACACACACACACACACACACACACACACACACACACACACACACACACACACACACACACACACACACACACACACACACACACACACACACACACATATATATATATATATATATATATATATTAAAGAAGTTTCACATTGTTTAGTTTTATGAATAAAGAGAGAGTCATATGGTATATATAGAATACAAGTTCTTTGAAATCTCACATCGTTTATTTTTGTGAAGAAAGATATAGTTCAAGGTTATATATAAGATTCAAATTCTTCATTCTAAGTCAGTCAAAAGCACTTTAAACTTGTATTTGACTTTCTTTTTTATCTTATACTTTTGTTTTAAAATATTGTGAGATGTAGTTAAATATTTGTTTTGGAGGGTGTGGGTGTACTGAGAGTCTAGATTAATTGAGGGTATATTATGTATTATTCTCTGGTTGTCTATTGATAACGGTCGTGGTTTTTTATCCGATTTCTCTTTTTTCTCTATGCTTGTTTTTCTCTAGTTCCTCTTTTTTCTCTATACTTGTTTTTTCCTAACAAGTGGTATCAAAGTTTTTGAGTCAATCCAGGAATAAGTGTTCTTAGTATGCTCTTTGATTGCAGTTTTGTCTGAACTTCCACGTCAGAAAATAAAGTGAAAGAATTTTTTTGACTTGTGAAAAGTTCAAGTCAAAGATATCTTGATACAATCAAGATTACACAAGGTGCAAGATTATGTCGGTGGTTGAAAAGTTTCCTGCTAATAAGGAAGTTGCATCATAATGTTTCAACCTGATTTTCGACATGTAAAATTTTTTGAAGTGATTTACCTTCAAGTGAATTATACTCTTCTTTAGGTGGAGTATGATAGTTTTTAAAAACTATGATTGTCAGTGAAGACAATGTAAAATTTTTGGAGTGGTGTAACTTCAAGTGACTATACTCTTTATGGTGGAGTATGATTGTCAGTGAATACAATGAAAGTTTATGTATTATTTTCAATTAAGGTGGAGATTGTTGGGATTTTTTGAAAATATACATGTTGAAAGAGAGAGTTCAATGCTATATATATGATACAAGTTCTTTGAAGTCCCACATCAGTTAGTTTTGTGAAGGAAGAGATAGTTCAAAGCTATATATAGGATTCAAATTCTTCATTCCAAAATGCACCAGTCAAAAACACTTTAAGTTTGTATTTGACTTTCTTTGTTCTATTATACTCTTGTTTAAAGTCTAAGTTAGTTGAGAGTATATTATGTGTTGTAACAATTTTTAACATAGTGTTAATCTCTTGTGTTATTATTGCGTTTTTTTTTATGCTTGTTTTTTCGTAACATATGTTAGACTTTTATTAGAGAATCTTTCTGAGAGACCAAAATCAAATTTCAAACTTCATTGCCCTCGAATCATTTTCGAGCTGTTCAAAATCTCAATCCATGTTTTATTCAAACCATAGAAGACTTTTGGATTTGGAAGCATATTTTCAACAACAACTAACTATTTGAAATTAGGAGTCTTTAAAATTTACAAGAGACTAAATATATATTACGTGAAAACATTTATTTATGTCAATATTTTCTTACATTTCACCTATTTAGTTTGTGACTTCGGTATGAAAAACTGGACTCTGGAGAAATATTTGCTTCTCCTTATTTTACCCATTTTTTCAATAGGGCTTATATCTTTGTGGACCATGGTGCATCCCATGAAATACCCTGCCATTCACACACACCCATTGACCCACAAAGATGCTATAACAATTGATATTAGGATTGAGCCTCAAGAACAATGGTTGTTCTAGAGCAAACTTCTGAATGAGGGTGAAACAAGTTTCTCCTACCTGCACAGCATGAATTGTGCTGCATATTGGTGTTCCACCTGCAAAATTTATATAATATAAAATATAAGTTTTTGATTAATTATTGTATTAACTATCACTAAATTTTACAATATATTGCTATATATATTTACCTGTTGGTGTTGGTCGACTTTCAACGATGAACATGCTAATGAGAAGAAATGATAAAACAAGAACAAAGTTCATGTGACTAGACTTGGCCATTCTTTTCAATTATTTATCATTCATATTACTGGTTGTGAACTTTTAGACGTGGGGGATTACGTGATGCTTCCTTAGTTTTTAACCTTAGTTTATAGAAAGAATATTGCATGGAGACAAGTTTGGTTTCGAGGCACATAGCATAGGATAATACAACTTAATTCTTTAGTTTGGTGCCAAAACATATTCTATTAATTTATTGGATATATTTTTGCTTTGGTTGCTCCTCAATGCAGTGTATGGTGTTTGTTGTTAGCGATGGCATTTCATACTATTACGACAATGCCTCTTACCTCCCATTTATTGCACATTAATGATGCCAATTTTATACTGAATCTCAAAAAGTTTCAAATAATAATGAAATGAGCTCAAATAAGTCCACGGTAAAACTTTGAAAACTCATTACTACCAAATATCTATTGATATTCTTAGACACCTAATAAATTTCTTTTTATATTTTCTATTTTTAGAGATATACATCCGGACACATCTTTTTTTTTTTGTTGTCAAAATTTAGATGTTTTCGAAGCTACAGCTACGGAATAATTTTCTACTGGTATACGTTGAGAAAAACTTGAAAATAAATCAGTTTAGGGAAACTTTTGGAGATGCACCTCCAGAACGTCTAAGCGCCAGAATGTTCTGTAGATACAGCTCCGGAAGTTACTGCTATATTTTAAACTTGCATGATCACTCCCTCATTGTTGTCTTTTCTTCTTCCACACTCACTTTCACCAACCTAAAAAATCCTACATTCTCAATATCATTTTCACTCCAAAACTCCAACTTTTTCGTGCAACAAATCAAAGGGAGTAAGAGAAGATAGAATTGTAGGTAAAGATTGCACTTTGTCAACTACATTGCTCACATTTATCATTAAAGTTTTGGAGAAAAAAAAGTAATGTTGCTTTTGGAGTTGTACCTTCAGAATGTGTTGAAGATGAACACTTCCAAATTTACACCTCTGGAACGTGTTCTATTTTTTTACAGCAGATTTGTAATTTTTGTTTATTTTTCTTATTGTTTACAAATAGATATGGTGCATCCCGATAATATCTCCAAAGAATTAGTTTGCATAAACGATATTTCTCCGAATGTTCAAGGGGTTTTTATAAAGTCGGTAGATATTGGCGTTGACTTTAATAACAAGCAAGAGTTTGATGACCGTGATTGCATGCTCACATGGATTCGTAGGAATGCAATTAGATTTGGTTTTGATGTGGTTATAGGAAGATCAGATAATGGTTCAGAAATAAGAAACGCTTTTGTAACTTTGTTGTGCGAAAGAAGCGGGAAATATCATACTCCTCTACGGAAGTTTAAAAGAGATGACACTGATAGTAGAAAATCTGAATGTCCTTTTAAGATTCGTGGTTACATGTTGAGTACCAAAAAGTGGAAATTTAGTGTTATTTGTGGTTTGCATAACCATGAATTGTGCTTAAAGTTACAAGGTCATCCTAGTGTATGTTGGCTCAAGTCGGAAGAGAAGACATGTATTAGTGACATGACCTTGAATCTTATCCAACCGAAAAATATACTTGCCACATTGAAACGGAAGGAACCCGACAATATATCAAATATAAGGAAAGTGTATAACATTCGATACGCACCAACAAGGAGATTAGGGGAGATAGAAATGAGATGCAACAACTGTTGAAATTGTTGGATGATTACATTTACGTGTCCCGGTACAGAACTTGCGACGATGGAGTTACGGTCCGAGATATTTTTTGGACTCATCCTGATTCGATAAAGTTGTTCAACACGTTCTCGACAGTGCTCATTCTTGATTCTACCTACAAGACCAACAAGTATAGACTTCCTTTATTTGAGATGGTTGGTGTTACATCTACCGAGAAGGCATATGTTGTTGGTTTTGCTTTTTTGGAGTGTGAAAAATAAGACAATTTTACATGGGCATTAGAGATGTGTCGGTCACTTTTGAAGGACCAAGTTGAGATGTCTAAAGTGACTGTTATCAATCGTGATACCACGTTGATGAATGCGGTTGCAAAGACATTTCCTTCTTCTAATGCATTACTTTTTCGGTATCACATAACAAAAAATGTGAAAAGTCGGGTTAAACTCGCGGTGGGGGCAAAATAAGTAGATCCCGAGGGTGGAAAATTGGTGAAGGCCGGTGTGATTGTTGAAAAAATAATTGATGCATGGAATCGTAAACTAAAGTCTTTCACAAAAGAATTATATGTCGATTTCTTCATTCAATTTCGGAAAGTGTGTGAAAAGTATCTTGCTTTATTGAAATACGTTGAAAGCACCATTCTTGATCAAGTGAAGGAGAAGATAGTATGTGCGTGGACTGATAATGTCTGATACCTTGGAAATACAATCACCAACAGAGTTGAGTTGGCCCATGCTAGTTTGCAAAATTGGTTGGGTAATAGCAAGGGAGATTTGGTCGGAGTATAACTGTATTGGAACATCAATTTAAAGACAACTTTCTTTATTCCCAATTGATCGGCAATATGTCTCGGTCGGTGTTGAACTATATTTTTCATGAGGCCAGACGAGTTGAAACTGTAGGTTCTGATAGCGCAAAGTGTGGTTGCATTCCTATAGTCTTTCGTACACTTGTGTTATTGCTACAAAGTTGAAACTAGGTGAGCCCATAAGAATGGATGAAGTTTGCCCTCATTGGAAAAGACTTAGTATTGATGATGATGGTTGCATGGAAGGAGGTAAACCGAATATCTCTATTTTTACCGAATGGGAAGCGATACAAGAGAGATTCTCAAAGGTCGATGACAACATGAAACTCCACATCAAAGAACAATTGAGGAAGATTTCTTATCCCGAAACAACTGACATGAAATCACCTTCTCAACCGGTAAAGACAAAAGGTGCTCTGAAGAAAATGAAGCCTACACTAAATGACAACACGACTACACGGTCTCCTTCTTATTGCGAGCACGTTGACAAACTTTATCCCGACTCACTGACTCCTAAATCTCAAAAAAGTGTCATGAAAGAAGCCCGCATAAGCAAACTGCCTCCAACCCCGATTCCATCAAAAATTTCATTCATCGACGAGATGTCAATTTTTATGCACAAATACATTGACTGTATCGTCAATGTTGAAGGGGATGGTAATTGCGGTTAACGAGCCGTTTCGGCTTTGCTTAGTAGAGGTGAGGATAGTCATGCGCTTGTTTGTCAACAATTAATCCAAGATTTGAAGACGCATAAAGCATCGTACACGCGGATGTATAGAAAGAAAGAAAAATTAGATGCAGTTTATGAATCTCTTGTTCCTTGCTTGAGTGGCCCAACACCGGTGTCAAAATGGATGACCTTCCCTGATATGGGTCATCTTATGGCATGTGCATATGATAGGGTGTGCATTAACTTGACGCGATACGGGTTTTCAGAAACCTTTTTTCCACTCTGCACTGCACCACCTCAAAATCCAAATGATCGCATCATGTGTATTGGATGGCTTGAAAAATCAAGAAAGTTTCTACAAGTTTACTTGAAACCAGGATGCCCCATACCACCTACATCACCGGAATGGATGATTCATTCAACTGCAAATATCGAGACGTGATCAGATCCTTTTGTTAAAAGGATATGAGAATTCGAAAAATTAAACAACATTGAAAAGGAATAGAATGAGGAAAAGTCCAAAGGGGTACCACCAATAGATTTAGTCGACGACACTTGTTTTGATTCGTTTTGAATTCTTATATAATCGGACGACTAATAGTAAAAAAAATTAAGTGTAAAATAGTCACTTTTCATTCGTATGCCTTATTCATGCACTTATGTCTTTTACTTGTCTATTATGATGTGTTTCCATATTGACTTCTGGTTTAAAAATGTAGCAGGGAAAGTTCTAGATATTCATCTACGGAAGGTTCTAAATTTTGTAGTATCAAGAAAAGTTTCGGAGATACACCTCCGAAAATAATAATTAAGGGTTCATTCTGTGAATATAGCTCTGGAAAAAGATTGACAGAATATCGTTGGTCCATATTCACCTAGGTTTTCTATAAATTTAGGGTTTCATTTGTTATCATTCACACAAATACGAAAATGTCTCAATTGTTTCAATTCAAGATATGTTGGTATGTCACAAGTGTCTCCTTTTTCAACAGCAAAACACTCGGGAGGACGTTCAAGATCATGGGTCTCACCCCCTTGCTGATATCATAGATGAGATCCAATATCGCCTACCTTACAATGACAAACAAAAGGTTGTGAAGCTTGAGTATCATTCACCTTTAGTTGACAACAAAGGGAATGTTGTTTACAGCAAGTTTAAGCTCAAGAATCAAGAAGATGTTAAGGCGATAGGGGGAACGTATTTTGATTTCAAAGAGAAATTTCCACTCGAGTTGGAGGCGACGGTTAGAAGAACGGTCGATGACATCTTAGAGATGTGCAAGCTTCCACCGGGCTATTGAAATGTAGTATTTAAATTTATGTCGAAATCATCAATGTAACGCCGATTTTATTTTATAAATGTTGATTTCATTGTTGCAATGTTGATTTTCTGGTTTGCTGATTCTGGTTTGCTTCCTTATACACATACGGAAATATTTCATAGATGCATCTACGTTGAAATCATCAATGTAACGCCGATATTATTTTATAAATGTTGATTTTATCGTTGCAATGTTGATTTTCTGGTTTACTGATTCTGGTTTGCTTCCTTATATACACATACAAAAATATTTCGTAGATGCATCTACGAAATTAATTTTAAAAAACTGAAAAAATGTGTGTTCGGAGATATATCTCCAGAAGCATGGGGCATTTTTGTCAAGGTGCATGGTGCCTAAGAAGTCCAAGGGGTGCCATAGAAATTCTCAAAAGTTATACAGCGTTGAGCCCAAAATATGGGGCCCTTTTTTATAATTATTAAATATAATAGAAAATAAATACATTTTTGGAAACGTAAGCGACTCTCTTTGTTTTTCAAA